GAAAGGTTGGTGAATAGTCTAGCCCATGTTTGGCCCCCATTATTTTTTATTTCATTACATTTTATTTTTCTCTTTCTTATTTTAAATCACACAATCTTTTATAAAATAATTTACACGTAAATCGAAATTTTTTCTTTCTATTTTAACCACTTATTTTTTCAAAAAAACATTATTTCACTCATTTTCATTATCATAAAATGGGGCCTAATCTTTTCTTTGTAACAAAAAAACACCTTACAGCGCGAAATTCAGGATTACACGCATAAGCGGCAAGGGAACAGCAACGTGACGTGGGGCCAAACCACGTCACGTCACCTGACCAGACCTTCCGTTTATCTTCCAAGTAAAAATCAAGAAGAAATCCCTCACTTTCCGTAGTCTTGCTTTTATAGAAGATAAATTTAGCATTTTCTTTGGATGATTAAATCTTATTCTGGGTTTGGTTTTGTGAATTGTTTGATTTTTTGTTTGGATTTTTGATTTAGAATAAAGAAATGGAAAAACCCAGAACAGAAGATGCGGTGGATAATGCCATATCAGAGGATAAACCTATGGACTCATCCTCGACATCATCATCACAGGTTAGAATATTTATTGAGGTTCTATGGTCTTTTTGAATGAAATTTCTCTGAAAATTGTGATTTTGAGCTGAGTTTGCGGAAAGATGGGTTCTTTGCTGCTGACATTTTTAACTTGAACAATTTTTTGTGATACTATGAGTGAAAAAAATATTGTATGTTTGAAGGACCCGTCCTCTTTTGTTTGATAAATTGTTCTGCATTGCAATTGCATACCTTCATTTTTTTTTTTTTTAATCTCAAATAAAGAAAACATCAACAAAGATGGAGATAATGGACATGTTGTGCAGGTGGGTGATAGTATGGATTTTACTTTTTCTTGGTTGATGATTTAGTAGCATAATTCATTTGATGGTTGTTTTATGTGTATGATTGGTGATGCATGATATAATGAGATTTTATTTCGTGTTAGTAAATTCTTTCCATGTTTGAAGGAGTTTCCACTAAATTTACTAATTCTGATCAATCTAAGCATACATGCTTATGCAAATTTTGGTGGCATAGCCTACTGCAACATATGGATCCTGGATTTTGGTGAAAAGTTGGGATTTAGTACTAAACTGAATGGAGTGGAGGTATATGTTTCATGTAGCAGACTACAAATTTATTGGGGACAATGACTTTTTCTTTTAATCAAATTATATATGCTTTGTCAAAAAGAAAAGCCAAAAGAAACCATATTTCATGTTTGTACTGGTGATACTTTTGTTTCTATGCACGTGTTTTAGAGTTTTTGCAGTTGTGTTACATTAAGTATATATTTTTTTTGTTAAAAGTACGTGCATTCTCCTTGTTGATATTTAGTATTAGTCGCTCAGTTGTATGTATGATTCATAAACTTTAATTTGACATAAATAAAGTAGTATTCTAAAAAAGGTAAATTTCTCACACGAATCTAAATTTCACATTTGATACTAGTGACTTTTATGAGTGCATTTATGTTAATAATCTTTGTGTTATGAACAAATAATTGTGGACCCCGTCTTTTTGTTCCTCGACTCGCCTTATGATGTTCTAACATTATTTAAAGTTTGTTGATTCCACGTGTTTCTTAATCACGTGTTAAAACCAAGTTGTTCACTAAATTGGACAAATCAAAATTATACCTCACCTTTGCCGTGAGAAAAAATAATGAACATCTCAACCTGCTTAGAGATCTTTCGCATCTTAATATACTGCTTGAACTTGACAACTTATCCAAGTCCATTTTCAAATTCCGTGAAAATGGGAAACTATCAAAAGGTAACACTACATTTGAATACGTTTTGTTTATCTTATAATTAATACAGTGTCCCATTAGATCCTTTTGCACTTCATCCTTCTTGTCTCTTGACTGATAGAGACCAGACAGCACAATTACTATTTTAAAATTTTCGATTAGATGCTTATTGTTACCACTATGTGGGTCAGATTTTTCTTTTAAAGCTCTAATGTTAATTCTGTTATCTAGTTTATTTACCATGCTGCTCATTGTGAATCTTATGTTGGCAACAAATTGTTCACGGCATGTAGGTTGATTCTCAAAATAGGGAGTCCAGGAATATGATTATGAATTCGAGCCGAATTGCAAAAAGTTCAGATCTAACCCTTCAAATACCTCCAAGGCCCGGGGGTTTTGGGAGCAGCCGTAGTGGCAAAGGTTTACTCCAGTCTCCAAGTGTCGTAAATGGAAATTCTTCAAGTGGAGGCTTTCTTCGGGCTCTAAGCTTTAAGAAGAGGGCCACTGCATCAGATGGCGAAAGAAGCTCTCTCCTGAGTTCAGATCCTAAGGCTGAAAGCCCCCTTTTTGCCAATCTCATGCCCAAATTTAATTGGAAAAGGTGTACTTCCCTTCCTGTCACTCATGCAGCAGTTCTGTCACCTCAAGTTATTACACCTACATCAGCAAGGACTCTAAGCGAACGGCAAAAGTCACACGTAATTTAGTGCCTAAACTCCAACTTTAATTACTAGCAATTATATCTCTCATTTTGGATGCTATATATTCTCGCGTAGAAGTCTGATTCAAATCTATAGTATATTATCACATGACATGATATCATTTTTTGAACAATAATATCCAAGTGATATTTTGACTATTTCAGTAATACTCTTTTGAGCTATTAACTTATTCATTGATTATATTATTAATTTATTCATTGATTTCTCCCCTTTATCTCCATTCAAAATTATCAGCATCATTAAACCCAATATTCACATACTTAATAGATTCATTGATACATATGTCAGTTGAATTGCCTATTTGCATCTTCACGATTTATACAAGTTCAATTGATATAGGGAGGTATCATGAAAGAGAATCAAAACCCAAACCTCCCTCTCCCTCTATCACACATGCATGTGCCCCAATTCCAAGTTGAGAATTCTTGATCCCAAAAATCATGCAATTCTTTACCATCCAAACATCCTAGGCAGAGTAACCAAGTAACTCTAGAAAAAAACAATATCCCTTTATTCAACACCATCTTCCTCTCTTTAATGTCTTTTTACGGTATATACTTTATTTTTATTTTTTTTCGCTACAATTCTTTTTCCCTGTAATGGTTCCCATAAAGTATTTCTTTATTTATTCCATTAGAACTAGAAATGTACTGTCACTGATATTTTAATTTTATGCCTTTATGTATATATATTTTTTAATCTGCTATTCCCATCTAATTAAAATAATTAAATGATAGAAACTGGATTTATACTTTGACTAATTGCATATAGAAAGCTATCGAGGAGTTGAGTTTTGAGTATTCAATCGTCAACTTCAAAACTTTAATGGATTTCACCTTTTAGCTACCTTCATTTCTATTAGTTTTGGACATCATAATAAATAAAATGTTCTGATATATATGCTTTACCTGATCTCCTTTCTGATGAAAGTTTAAAATTGGTATTCAGTTGAAACTATGTTGGAATGAATGGAGGATTGACTGTGTTAGGTAAAAAGCTAAGCAGAGTACAAATAAACTGTAAGGAAGCAAGACTACAATATTCTAAGCTTTGGCTAGGCAGAAGGAAGCTAACAATGATAGAGTAGAAAGTAGAAACTTAAAAGTCCAAATGGTGTCAGATCATGGTTTTCAGGAGTTGGATAATTATGCTTGATAGTTGACTATTTTGAATTGAATCAAATATTCTGAACCTTATTCATTAAGCACGTGGATCTGACCTTTTCATTAAGCATGTGGATCTTTAGTTATGTCATTATAAGACAAGTGTAAAGTGGTTGAACCAGCTTTATTACTAGACGAAATCAATTTAATAATTCTGTCTTTCCCAATCAAATGTTTCTCAAATCAATTTTAATGATTCTTAGTCTTTCCAATCAAATGTTTCTCAAATTCTAGACTATGAATTAATCTTTAAGTTATTGTTTCTGCAATTCTAATTACATTTAAAAAAAATAAATTGTTTGATTATATGTTTAGAGCCTGTTTGAGCTCCATTTTTATTGAAAAATGTATTTTGGAATAGTAGATAAAAGTTTTGGATTTGCGTGTAATAATATTTTATTGAAGAATGTAGTTAAAAAAAAGGGAGAGAAAAATGTATTTTGAAAATAATGGGGATCAAACAAGGGCTTAGATTGCTCATTCTCATTATTGACCCAACATAAAAAAATAGCATTATATAAGACTATAAAAAATATCAGAACAACATGCAACACACGTTCACAATGACTACTATTTTTTAAAAGACTGGTATCATGAACATTGTAATTCTGCAGCATGTGTATGCTATGCGCCTATGCTTAACCATACTTTTGAATTTAATGCTGAACATGGAAAAAGTTGATATTTTTGTATTCATCTTTATTTTTCTATTTGATTTATTTGCCTAGTTCCTTTTAGTGACTCCATATCTATTTCACTCGTTTAATGAATTTCTTATTAGTACTTCTGATCCTATGCTCGAAGCAGGAACTTCCTGAATAATTTTTCCTTTAGTCGCTAATCGTATTTATCGATTTGTGCTTTCTACATGTTGACTTCGTTAGTAAACACTTGGGCTGATCTTGTTTAAATAAGATCTTGAGATTACTCTATACAGTAACCAAGTTGTCCAAACTGGTTTTGTTTTTGTATTTCTTCTGTATCAAAGTTAGATAAAAATCCTTGATCAAGCTAAAATATCCTGGTGGTATTAGCAAATTTTGGAACAATTAGCAAATGAGGGAAAAAATTGGGTACAATTTAGGATTTACTAATAAATTAAATAAATATCCTCCGAAATATTGAGAAATAGTTCCATGATAAGGTGAATATGGCGTGTTTTCTGTGACGAAATAACAAAACTGCTTGTGCTAATTAGGTCATTAGTATATACCCTAAACATTATTCTGTTGTTTTCGATCAAAAACTTCCCTTTCGTTCTTATGTGGTGTTTACTGGTAATATGATTCTATTATTGATGATTTCTGAGGATAATAATTTTCATAGCTCTCTTCTCACCTGTCTATGTGTTCATTATTGGTCATTTTTATGAAATTGCTTCGGGACATCACAGTTGTAGTAAAGATTTTATCTATCCGTGCCATCTTTATGACTAGTTTGAATCAGTTCTATCACGGCATCATCAGATCCTCAAATCTAGAAGCTAATTACCTAATAATATATTTGTATAATACATCCCCCGCCCCCATACCTGCTTAAATTCATAGTTTGTGGTAGTAAACAGAGATGGGGAAATTATTAGTTATATATGTATAGAGATGCACCATACGAGGAGCCATAGCAAAGTGCAAGACACAGAGAAGATGAGATATAGTCCCCCATTTGAGCCCCATTGTCTAAAATCTCATTTTTCACAAATTCATTTTCAACCACATATTCTCTCAATAAAATAATTTCACACTTGAACCCAAAACTTTTACCAACTTTTTAACTAAACCTTCTCCAAAAAAAATACTATTACAGAACTCATTTTTTAACACAAAATGAAGTCTCAGACAAAAGCATAGTAATGTACTATTGCATATATTTGTTGCAGATAAGTGCTTCGCAAGCTACTGTTTCGAGGTCCCTCTCAGTACCTGGGAGGAATATTGTTATTGTAAGGTCATCATCTTTTGCTACCCGTGAAAATCAGGATCCAGACGCTGACAGTGGTATGTCACTTGCATATGTATCTGGTGATCTAATTTCCTCTTTGAGCTTTCTTTGATCACCAATCAAATCTTTATGGAAAATACTCTGTAACTTGGCTGAATCGCTTCATTATCCTAATTGGCGTTTCCCTAACTCAGAAAAAAATATCTGAATGATAAAAGCCCATGCTAGTTATTAGTCATACTTCATATTGTATAACAATAATAATAAAGGAAAATATATCTAGCCTCTAGGAACAAAATATACATAGGAGGCTTTAAGAGTGCACACCCCTGTTTATTGTACCCCTGTTTGTTGTAGTTAAAAAATCATATATTTAGTAGATTTTAAAAAGTAAATGAAATGTGCAGTTAAGAAGTTGATAAAAGTTGTGAGTCTCATGAAATGTATGGTTTAGATTAATGGTTGACTTTGACTTAGCATTTTATCAAAATTTTAATCCACACCAAACGGAAGTTAAGACAAGGTTTTTGAAAGTTTTGATACGTTGGATTGAGCATGTTTCCTAGACTTGCATTTTATATGGAAATGTAAACCATAGCCCTTGTTTGAGCCCCATTTTATCAAAAACTCATTTTTTCAAAACTCATTTTCATCACATATTCTCCAATAAATATAATTTTACACGTAACCGAAAACATTTTCTTATTTTTTCACCACATTCTCCAAAAAAACACTATTCCAAAATACATTTTCCTCCAAAATGGGGCTCAAACAAGGGCATTGTTGGATAACTTAATCTCTTCTTACTTTCCAGTAAGCAAAAGTACTTTTCTGAGAGTGAATCTTAATAAGTTATTTACAGAAAAATGTATACTTTGACCAACTTGACCGATAAAAGTAGATTTACGTTAAAACAAACTTGTATAGGGCATCCTTGGCAGGGATTCTGCTTTTGTTTTTTTGTAGATGAACTCTTGAGAAAGATGCATTGGATCAAGTTGCTTTTAAAGCTCTTCTAACCAAGAAAGTGCTTCCAAACAATTATTCAAACAGACACAATAGCTACTATTGAATCTCAGAAGCAGCTTTTGGCTTTCCAAGAGCCCGGGCAAATGAGCCTTTACTTATAACTGAACTTTTTAAGCTTAGAAAAACATGCTTTTAGTCTGCAAACCAATATAATTGTCTTGTAAATGATATGATAACTGGATATAAGTCTAAAATAGCCTGTTATAATTCTGAATAATTGGATTTTGTAAATTATATCTTTTTACATTTGCTTTGTGGAAAATTAGATCAAATTACTCCTGATCCTGTCCACGAGGATCAAGAGATTCCTGAAGAAGAAGCTATCTGCAGGATCTGTTTCGATACCTGTGACGAAAGAAATACACTCAAGATGGAGTGCTGCTGTAAAGGTGCACTCCGACTCGTTCATGAAAATTGTGCAATCAAATGGTTTAGCATAAAAGGAAACAAATTATGTGACGTATGTGGTAAAGAAGTTTCAAATTTACCGGTGACTTTGCTTCGGGTGCCAAATACTCAAAGAGATAACAGGGAGCAGAACCAACAGGGTCTGAATGCGACAAGGTGATCGTTATTTTTTATTTTTTTTCTAAATCTCTCTCTCTCCATCCGAATTTATTGATTTTTCTTTTGAACTGTGCTCAATTCTTCGTTAAGCCTTTTCTCTGTGTGCACTGTCTACAAATGTATTGGTCATTGATCCAATCAAAAATAAAAAGAAGAGTGCAAAAAATCACTGGTTCAACCTTTAGCACATGCCCTTGGAAGCTGAAAATTTTATTTTGGATTGTAGTTTATTCTCTGTAGTTTTCATTCCTAGATCATGTAACAAGGGGAACATTGGTCAAAAGTTGTTCTCTTGAACTCATTTCATTTCTGGGTCATCTACAGTCAGTCTTGATAATCGAATCGCTGCTGTCATGGAGAATTGAAATATCAGTTCAAGAATAGAATAGAAATCTGATAGTGCTCGTGAATTTTTGTGTTTCAACTCTCATGTCTCTTTCTTTTATCTCTTTTTGTTTCTTTCTTCAGGTGTTTAAATTGAACTTACAAAAATAGTTTTGGCATGTTTTTCAGTGCTTGGCAAGACTTTGTGGTGCTCGTCTTGATAAGCACAATTTGCTATTTCTTCTTCCTTGAGCAGCTACTGGTAAGTTATCAGGCAATGGAACGCTGTCAGAACCATCACCACATTGTTACGCCAGTTCCACCACCTTCCGACAGACCCGTCGTCACCAACATCTCACCATTACCAACTCAACTACTACCACGATCGCCACCACCAAAATATGGAAGCGGCTACCACCATCACTCCAACAACCAAAAGCAATCCTTACTAAATCAACCACTTGTACCACCATCGAATCGCACTGCAACCTCTAGATCCACCCTCATCACCACAATCATGCATATCCGTCACCACTACTCAATTGAGCTGCAACAGTGTCTTTGCAAAAGCACTGTTGCTTCAGAGTGACGCCTTTCAGTTGTGGGGTCTTGAGTGCGGTTGTGAGTGTCTTCGCAGCGATCACAACCCACCACCTCATAGCAACTACCAAATCCACCAGCATCCCCACAACTGCACAGATATGTCACCACCAACCATCCGGGCTACAGCAGCGGCAATGCTGCTTTAGAGTGACGCCTCTCTATGGTAGCGTCTTGAGCGCGGTTGTGAGCATCTTCGCAACAATCGCAGCAGTAGTGGTGTCTTCACAATGGTGACGTCTTCATGAGAGAAGAGATAAGCATAGAGACAGAGGAGGGGGGAAATTAATTAGGATTTGTGATGAAATTTGTATAATAAAATTTAATATTTAAGTATTAAATATCTGATTTTTAAATAATGAAACATTCACCTGATTTCAGAATATTGATCTTTTAGAGTATGGTGGAATGTAATTTTCACAAAAAATAATTAAATAAGAAGAGCCCATTGGCCCTCTCTTTATATTTTTTTTATTACATTTTATTTATTTTTAGAAAAATCGGGTTTTCAATCAATAAAGACCAATTTTTCTTCAACATTTTTTACACAAACCTATCCCCATTTTCAAGGCTTTCACTTTGCATTTCTTCTTCCTTTTACAGACTGCGTATTTATCAAAACCAAATTGTTCCTAAAGCAATTGATTCCCCACACATTTTGATATGCAAATTGAGTATTATAGTTGTATTGACAAGGGGGGGAAAAAAAAGGGACAGAGTGAAAGTGAATGTAGTGCAAGAAAATGGATTAGTTAGGGTATCAAGTCATTCGAATCATGCTATAATGTCAGAATAATTAATATAATATTACATGACAGTCTATTATTAGACTGTTTAAAACACAATCATACTTTTTATTCAATCATTTCCCATCACCTAGGATTTTGGCATTGTTTCTAACATTATTCTTCGATCAAAGTGATTTAACCCATGTCATTATTGATTGTGAAATCGTAACATCTCGTTGAAAAGAGATTATGCGAGTATGAAGTGGTAAAACTAAAAAGTTGGACAGTCAAACAGGGAGAAGGTGATGCACAATGAAGATAGAAAATAAGAATGACAAGAACAAGAGTATATTAGAATTATTACGAAAATTGAGGTTTATTTAAAAATTTATGAAAGAAGGAGAGTATTATTTTTCCTCTCCAACTGAATGAGGCAATTTCCTACAAGTTTACTCCCAACTAATTGAAGGACTTGTAGGTCCAACTATGTATTGGCATTATTGTGGAATTCTTCTTAAGAAAGCAATAATGCAAAATGATAGGAAAGGTTGGTGAATAGTCTAGCCCATGTTTGGCCCCCATTATTTTTTATTTCATTACATTTTATTTTTCTCTTTCTTATTTTCAATCACACAATCTTTTATAAAATAATTTACACGTAAATCGAAATTTTTTCTTTCTTTTTTAACCACTTATTTTTTCAAAAAAACATTATTTCACTCATTTTCATTATCATAAAATGGGGCCTAATCTTTTCTTTGTAACAAAAAAACACCTTACAGCGCGAAATTCAGGATTACACGCATAAGCGGCAAGGGAACAGCAACGTGACGTGGGGCCAAACCACGTCACGTCACCTGACCTGACCTTCCGTTTATCTTCCAAGTAAAAATCAAGAAGAAAACCCTCACTTTCCGTAGTCTTGCTTTTATAGAAGATAAATTTAGCATTTTCTTTGGATGATTAAATCTTATTCTGGGTTTGGTTTTGTGAATTATTTGATTTTTTGTTTGGATTTTTGATTTAGAATAAAGAAATGGAAAAACCCAGAACAGAAGATGCGGTGGATAATGCCATATCAGAGGATAAACCTATGGACTCATCCTCGACATCATCATCACAGGTTAGAATATTTATTGAGGTTCTATGGTCTTTTTGAATGAAATTTCTCTGAAAATTGTGATTTTGAGCTGAGTTTGCGGAAAGATGGGTTCTTTGCTGCTGACATTTTTAACTTGAACAATTTTTTGTGCTACTATGAGTGAAAAAAATATTGTATGTTTGAAGGACCCGTCCTCTTTTGTTTGATAAATTGTTCTGCATTGCAATTGCATACCTTCATTTTTTTTTTAATCTCAAATAAAGAAAACATCAACAAAGATGGAGATTATGGACATGTTGTGCAGGTGGGTGATAGTATGGATTTTACTTTTTCTTGGTTGATGATTTAGTAGCATAATTCATTTGATGGTTGTTTTATGTGTATGATTGGTGATGCATGATATAATGAGATTTTATATCGTGTTAGTAAATTCTTTCCATGTTTGAAGGAGTTTCCACTAAATTTACTAATTCTGATCAATCTAAGTATACATGCTTATGCAAATTTTGGTGGCATAGCCTACTGCACCATATGGATCCTGGATTTTGGTGAAAAGTTGGGATCTAGTACTAAACTGAATGGAGTGGAGGTATATGTTTCATGTAGCAGACTACAAATTTATTGGGGACAATGACTTTTTCTTTTAATCAAATTATATATGCTTTGTCAAAAAGAAAAGCCAAAAGAAACCATATTTCATGTTTGTACTGGTGATACTTTTGTTTCTATGCACGTGTTTTAGAGTTTTTGCAGTCGTGTTACATTAAGTATATATTTTTTTTGTTAAAAGTACGTGCATTCTCCTTGTTGATATTCAGTATTAGTCGCTCAGTTGTATGTATGATTCATAAACTTTAATTTGACATAAATAAAGTAGTATTCTAAAAAAGGTAAATTTCTCACACGAATCTAAATTTCACATTTGATACTAGTGACTTTTATGAGTGCATTTATGTTAATAATCTTTGTGTTATGAACAAATAATTGTGGACCTCGTCTTTTTCTTCCTTGACTCGCCTTATGATGTTCTAACATTATTTAAAGTTTGTTGATTCCACATGTTTCTTAATCACATGTTAAAACCAAGCTGTTCACTAAATTGGACAAATCAAAATTATACCTCACCTTTGCCGTGAGAAAAAATAATGAACATCTCAACCTGCTTAAAGATCTTTCGCATCTTAATAAACTGCTTGAACTTGACAACTTATCCAAGTCCATTTTCAAATTCCGTGAAAATGGGAAACTATCAAAAGGTAACACTACATTTGAATACGTTTTGTTTATCTTATAATTAATACAGTGTCCCATTAGATCCTTTTGCACTTCATCCTTCTTGTCGCTTGACTGATAGAGACCAGACAGCACAATTACTATTTTAAAATTTTCGATTAGATGCTTATTGTTACCACTATGTGGGTCAGATTTTTCTTTTAAAGCTCTAATGTTAATTCTGTTATCTAGTTTATTTACCACGCTGCTCATTGTGAATCTTATGTTGGCAACAAATTGTTCACGGCATGTAGGTTGATTCTCAAAATAGGGAGTCCAGGAATATGATTATGAATTCGAGCCGAATTGCAAAAAGTTCAGATCTAACCCTTCAAATACCTCCAAGGCCCGGGGGTTTTGGGAGCAGCCGTAGCGGCAAAGGTTTACTCCAGTCTCCAAGTGTCGTAAATGGAAATTCTTCAGGTGGAGGCTTTCTTCGGGCTCTAAGCTTTAAGAAGAGGACCACTGCATCAGATGGCGAAAGAAGCTCTCTCCTGAGTTCAGATCCTAAGGCTGAAAGCCCCCTTTTTGCCAATCTCATGCCCAAATTTAATTGGAAAAGGTGTACTTCCCTTCCTGTCACTCATGCAGCAGTTCTGTCACCTCAAGTTATTACACCTACATCAGCAAGGACTCTAAGCGAAAGGCAAAAGTCACACGTAATTTAGTGCCTAAACTCCAACTTTAATTACTAGCAATTATATCTCTCATTTTGGATGCTATATATTCTCGCGTAGAAGTCTGATTCAAATCTATAGTATATTATCACATGACATGATATCATTTTTTGAACAATATTATCCAAGTGATATTTTGACTATTTCAGTAATACTCTTTTGAGCTATTAACTTATTCATTGATTATATTATTAATTTATTCATTGATTTCTCCCCTTTATCTCCATTCAAAATTATCAGCATCATTAAACCCAATATTCACATACTTAATAGATTCATTGATACATATGTCAGTTGAATTGCCTATTTGCATCTTCACGATTTATACAAGTTCAATTGATATAGGGAGGTATCATGAAAGAGAATCAAAACCCAAACCTCCCTCTCCCTCTATCACACATGCATGTGCCCCAATTCCAAGTTGAGAATTCTTGATCCCAAAAATCATGCAATTCTTTACCATCCAAACATCCTAGGCAGAGTAACCAAGTAACTCTAGAAAAAAACAATATCCCTTTATTCAACACCATCTTCCTCTTTTTAATGTCTTTTTACGGTATATACTTTATTTTTATTTTTTTTCGCTACAATTCTTTTTCCCTGTAATGGTTCCCATAAAGTATTTCTTTATTTATTCCATTAGAACTAGAAATGTACTGTCACTGATATTTTAATTTTATGCCTTTATGTATATATATTTTTTAATCTGCTATTCCCATCTAATTAAAATAATTAAATGATAGAAACTGGATTTATACTTTGACTAATTGCATATAGAAAGCCTATGTAGCACAGACACTCTAATTAGGGTAGCGTGTCCGTGTCCGACACGTGTCGGATACGTGTCGATACCGACACTCTTCGGACACTCTACAATAATCATTTTCCTTTTTTAATATAACTATTATATATTTTTAACTCAAAGTTTTTAATAAATAACAAATAAGTACTTATATTTAAAAGATTTTAACAAAAAAGAATCAATAATAAGTATAAGACTAAATTTAAACTATATAAATGAAGAATTTTAAAAATTTAATGAACGTGTCGACGACGTGTCGTGTCGGTACTTTTTTGAAAAATCACGAGTCGACGTATCCGATACGTATCGTGTCGGACACACGTGTCCGTGTCGGTGCATCATAGTAGAAAGCTATCGAGGAGTTGAGTTTTGAGTATTCAATCGTCAACTTCAAAACTTTAATGGATTTCACCTTTTAGCTACCTTCATTTCTATTAGTTTTGGACATCATAATAAATAAAATGTTCTGATATATATGCTTTACCTGATCTCCTTTCTGATGAAAGTTGAAAATTGGTATTCAGTCGAAACTATGTTGGAATGAATGGAGGATTGACTGTGTTAGGTAAAAAGCTAAGCAGAGTACAAATAAACTGTAAGGAAGCAAGACTACTATATTCTAAGCTTTGGCTAGGCAGAAGGAAGCTAAAAATGATAGAGTAGAAAGTAGAAACTTAAGAGTCCAAGTGGTGTCAGATCATGGTTTTCAGGAGTTGGATAATTATGCTTGATAGTTGACTATTTTGAATTGAATCAAATATTCTGAACCTTATTCATTAAGCACGTGGATCTGACCTTTTCATTAAGCATGTGGATCTTTAGTTATGTCATTATAAGACAAGTGTAAAGTGGTTGAACCAGCTTTATTACTAGACGAAATCAATTTAATAATTCTGTCTTTCCCAATCAAATGTTTCTCAAATCAATTTTAATGATTCTTAGTCTTTCCAATCAAATGTTTCTCAAATTCTAGACTATGAATTAATCTTTAAGTTATTGTTTCTGCAATTCTGATTACATTTAAAAAAAATAAATTGTTTGATTATATGTTTAGAGCCTGTTTGAGCTCCATTTTTATTGAAAAATGTATTTTGGAATAGTAGATAAAAGTTTTGGATTTGCGTGTAATAATATTTTATTGAAGAATGTAGTTAAAAAAAAGGGAGAGAAAAATGTATTTTGAAAATAATGGGGATCAAACAAGGGCTTAGATTGCTCATTCTCATTATTGACCCAACATAAAAAAATAGCATTATATAAGACTTCATAAAAAATATCAGAACAACATGCAACACACGTTCACAATGACTACTATTTTTTAAAAGACTGGTATCATGAACTTTGTAATTCTGCAGCATGTGTATGCTATGCGCCTATGCTTAACCATACTTTTGAATTTAATGCTGAACATGGAAAAAGTTGATATTTTTGTATTCATCTTTATTTTTCTATTTGATTTATTTGCCTAGTTCCTTTTAGTGACTCCATATCTATTTCACTCGTTTAATGAATTTCTTATTAGTACTTCTGATCCTATGCTCGAAGCAGGAACTTCCTGAATAATTTTTCCTTTAGTCGCTAATCGTATTTATCGATTTGTGCTTTCTACATGTTGACTTTGTTAGTAAACACTTGGGCTGATCTTGTTTAAATAAGATCTTGAGATTACTCTATACAGTAACCAAGTTGTCCAAACTGGTTTTGTTTTTGTATTTCTTCTGTATCAAAGTTAGATAAAAATCCTTGATCAAGCTAAAATATCCTGGTGGTATTAGCAAATTTTGGAACAATTAGCAAATGAGGGAAAAAATTGGGTACAATTTAGGATTTACTAATAAATTAAATAAATATCCTCCGAAATATTGAGAAATAGTTCCATGATAAGGTGAATATGGCGTGTTTTCTGTGACGAAATAACAAAACTGCTTGTGCTAATTAGGTCATTAGTATATACCCTAAACGTTATTCTGTTGTTTTCGATCAAAAACTTCCCTTTCGTTCTTATGTGGTGTTTACCGGTAATATGATTCTATTATTGATGATTTCTGAGGATAATAATTTTCATAGCTCTCTTCTCACCTGTCTATGTGTTCATTATTGGTCATTTTTATGAAATTGCTTCGGGACATCACAGTTGTAGTAAAGATTTTATCTATCCGTGCCATCTTTATGATTAGTTTGAATCAGTTCTATCACGGCATCATCAGATCCTCAAATCTAGAAGCTAATTACCTAATAATATATTTGTATAATACATCCCCCGCCCCCATACCTGCTTAAATTCATAGTTTGTGGTAGTAAACAGAGATGGGGAAATTATTAGTTATATATGTATAGAGATGCACCATATGAGGAGCCATAGCAAAGTGCAAGACACAGAGAAGATGAGATATAGTCCCCCATTTGAGCCCCATTGTCTAAAATCTCATTTTTCACAAATTCATTTTCAACCACATATTCTCTCAATAAAATAATTTCACACTTGAACCCAAAACTTTTACGAACTTTTTAACTAAACCTTCTCCAAAAAAAATACTATTACAGAACTCATTTTTTAACACAAAATGAAGTCTCAGACAGAAGCATAGTAATGTACTATTGCATATATTTGTTGCAGATAAGTGCTTCGCAAGCTACTGTTTCGAGGTCCCTCTCAGTACCTGGGAGGAATATTGTTATTGTAAGGTCATCATCTTTTGCTACCCGTGAAAATCAGGATCCAGACGCTGACAGTGGTATGTCACTTGCATATGTATCTGGTGATCTAATTTCCTCTTTGAGCTTTCTTTGATCACCAATCAAATCTTTATGGAAAATACTCTGTAACTTGGCTGAATCGCTTCATTATCCTAATTGGCGTTTCCCTAATTCCACTCAGAAAAAAATATCTGAATGATAAAAGCCCATGCTAGTTATTAGTCATACTTCATATTGTATAACAACAATAATAAAGGAAAATATATCTAGCCTCTAGGAACAAAATATACATAGGAGGCTTTAAGAGTGCACACCCCTGTTTATTGTAGTTAAAAAATCATATATTTAGTAGATTTTGATAAAAAGTAAATGAAATGTGCAGTTAAGAAGTTGATAAAAGTTGTGAGTCTCATGAAATGTATGGTTTAAATTAATGGTTGACTTTGACTTAGCATTTTATCAAAATTTTAATCCACACCAAACGGAAGTTAAGACAAGGTTTTTGAAAGTTTTGATACGTTGGATTGAGCATGTTTCCTAGACTTGCATTTTATATGGAAATGTAAACCATAGCCCTTGTTTGAGCCCCATTTTATCAAAAACTAATTTTTTCAAAACTCATTTTCATCACATATTCTCCAATAAATATAATTTTACACGTAACCGAAAACATTTTCTTATTTTTTCACCACATTCTCCAAAAAAACACTATTCCAAAATACATTTTCCTCCAAAATGGGGCTCAAACAAGGGCATTGTTGGATAACTTAATCTCTTCTTACTTTCCAGTAAGCAAAAGTACTTTTCTGAGAGTGAATCTTAATAAGTTATTTACAGAAAAATGTATACTTTGACCAACTTGACCGATAAAAGTAGATTTACGTTAAAACAAACTTGTATAGGGCATCCTTGGCAGGGATTCTGCTTTTGTTTTTTTGTAGATGAACTCTTGAGAAAGATGCATTGGATCAAGTTGCTTTTAAAGCTCTTCTAACCAAGAAAGTGCTTCCAAACAATTATTCAAACAGACACAATAGCTACTATTGAATCTCAGAAGCAGCTTTTGGCTTTCCAAGAGCCCGGGCAAATGAGCCTTTACTTATAACTGAACTTTTTAAGCTTAGAAAAACATTCTTTTAGTCTGCAAACCAATATAATTGTCTTGTAAATGATATGATAACTGGATATAAGTCTAAAATAGCCTGTTATAATTCTGAATAATTGGATTTTGTAAATTATATCTTTTTACATTTGCTTTGTGGAAAATTAGATCAAATTACTCCTGATCCTGTCCACGAGGATCAAGAGATTCCTGAAGAAGAAGCTATCTGCAGGATCTGTTTCGATACCTGTGACGAAAGAAATACACTCAAGATGGAGTGCTGCTGTAAAGGTGCACTCCGACTCGTTCATGAAAATTGTGCAATCAAATGGTTTAGCATAAAAGGAAACAAATTATGTGACGTATGTGGTAAAGAAGTTTCAAATTTACCGGTGACTTTGCTTCGGGTGCCAAATACTCAAAGAGATAACAGGGAGCAGAACCAACAGGGTCTGAATGCGACAAGGTGATCGTTATTTTTTATTTTTTTTCTAAATCTCTCTCTCTCCATCCGAATTTATTGATTTTTCTTTTGAACTGTGCTCAATTCTTCGTTAAGCCTTTTCTCTGTGTGCACTGTCTACAAATGTATTGGTCATTGATCCAATCAAAAATAAAAAGAAGAGTGCAAAAAATCACTGGTTCAACCTTTAGCACATGCCCTTGGAAGCTGAAAATTTTATTTTGGATTGTAGTTTATTCTCTGTAGTTATCATTCCTTGATCATGTAACAAGGGGAACATTGGTCAAAAGTTGTTCTCTTGAACTCATTTCATTTCTGGGTCATCTACAGTCAGTCTTGACAATCGAATCGCTGCTGTCATGGAGAATTGAAATATCAGTTCAAGAATAGAATAGAAATCTGATAGTGCTCGTGAATTTTTGTGTTTCAACTCTCATGGCTCTTTCTTGTATCTCTTTTTGTTTCTTTCTTCAGGTGTTTAAATTGAACTTACAAATATAGTTTTGGTATGTTTTTCAGTGCTTGGCAAGACTTTGTGGTGCTCGTCTTGATAAGCACAATTTGCTATTTCTTCTTCCTTGAGCAGCTACTGGTAAGTTATCAGGCAATGGAACGCTGGTAACTTGTTTCAGTTTTTAAATGCTTACAGTTTCTGACAACTTTGGTGTTTTATGTGTGTCCTTTCATTTGCAGATTGGTGAGATGAAAAATCAGGCACTTATAGTTGCTGCACCGTTCTCTTTTACCATAGCTCTTGTAGCCTCTATTTTTGCAGTCATCTTAGGTATGACATAACTTCTGATAAATATTTACTCGACAATATTGCTCAGACATGATTAGCTTGATTTTTTTCTTTAATCCATACAGTACTGTCCGGACTATTGTGACAAACATGAAAATTTAAAGTGATTCACACTTCAGCTATTTGTCTTACGATGAGTTTGTTTCTATGCAGCTATTAAAGAGTACGTATGGACTTACGCAGCTCTTCAGTTTGCACTTGTGGCTGTGATTCTCCATCTTTTCTATTCAATGGTGATTTGCTTCTAACTACTACCTGAATAAATTTTTTTCTCACTTACTCTGTCTTAATTTCTATAGTAAACAAATTACTTCCATTTGAACAATCAAATGATCTTCCATTTTATTCTGTTATTTTTTTTTCATTACTCGAGTATCTCTCGAGCTGCCTGGCAATGTTTGTCTTCTGAGGTACATGTTTTGAGCTTAGCCTTTATCTGATCGTGATTGCTTTATTGAACCTATTCCCATTTGGTTTGGTGTTTCAGCTTCACTTGCCACCTGTTTATGCAATCCTCCTATCAGCAGTCTTAGGATTGGGAGTGGCTATGAGTCTCAACTCGTTGTATATTCGTTACTTTTCCTGGCGGGTTCGAGTTGCTGAAAACTCTAACCTAGTATGATTGTATACCTGAGATAGATGAGATTGGTCACATGTGCACTGATAGCAGTAAGTATTAGTTGCCCGACTTCAAAGATATAGAACTTGGGATGCATATTTAACAAGCTTTATCTAATGTCATTTTTTAAGAATCATCCAAGGGCTAAAGTGGAAGTTTCAAATCCACTCATCGATGAAAGGAGTCATCGATGATTGTCATGCTATTATGAAGAGATCTTGCTGACAGTTGCACGGTGATGGCCTCGGGTACTCAGCCAGCTAATCAAGACTACATTATTGATATTATTAGTAATATTATCAGTAGCGGGAGTTGTTATTTTCTCATGATTTGAATCGCAAAGATGTATTGCTTTTTGCCTTTTGGCTGCTTGTAGAGTTGCCATGTTCCACGAATCTTAGTAAATGTAGACAGTGCATGGTGCAGTCCTCTTTCTGTAGCAAAATTTGGTGGGGGCAATATTGCCACCCTTGTGCCAGTCTTGACATATGGGTAAAAAGTGTATAATTCACATTTTCCAAGTTCTATTACAAAGTGGTCATTCTTGTGAAAGTAAGTAAAAAATCCTGCTTGAAGAGAGTCAAATTTCATACAAAGTGAATGATGCTTCTTGGAGGTTGGCTCGAAACAAACAGATATGGAAAGGGATCGGAATATTATCTTCTATTACGGATTTGTAACAATGCATGAAACACTGAATTGTCATTTTGAAATTGTGTTTGCCTATCTTACACATCCACGACCAACAAGGAGTGCAAGTAAAATGTAGAACACAAAAGGAGCTCCCACGAGCAGTGTACTGGCAAAGCAGGAAAATTCTTTACAATGCATCGGGGATTCTTGAAGATTCAAATCCGATAGATGAAAGGCAAACAACCTATAGAGACAAGTTATGGTACACTCTGTCACCTCTTTGGAAGTCTTGTCCACGTGTCGTAAAGGAGGGTACATGGAGAAGAACCGCTTTCTAAATGTTTGATCCATTTGTGTATAAACTATGATCACATTCGATTTTTCCCAGGTGATGAACCAAGGGAAAGGTAGCCAAAAAATTAACAAATGGACCATTATAATTCGAGCACACTTCAATTTTATTTCCTGGTATCATATTGATACAAATATCCATATGTTGCTCAATCACAAAATAGAACTTTGACTTTCATATTACAATAAAAAAAACTCGTCCCTACAAACAATCTTAATTAAAAACTATCCAAGTAGCTACTGACGATAGTCTTTCTGCAATGCAGGACAAATCACGAAAAAAGGAGAGTGCACCACAAATTATCAAGCCTGAAGGCCAATGATACCTGCACAAGATTCAGAAAAGCACATGTTATCAGGGAGACGAGGTAGCTGCTTAACTCTATGTTCACATTATTCAGCTGTTAACTAAAGATGTAGACTTGTTCCGGGGTAAAAGTCAATCTATAATTTCAAAAATTGAGCTTTGCTAATATTTCAGCATCGAAAAAATCATTCAGTTTCCAGGTAATCACCAAGTGCATTGACGTAAAGACCTCTAGAAAAGTAAATTTTGTACTATCTCCCAAAAAAGTAACTTCAGGCAAAGTTCAACCGATGTCTGGCAAAAAGTTGATTCAGTAACTCTTAAGCTTGACATATGTTTGGCTAAAGTTAGCTTTAAGCACTTCCACCTTTTCTTTACAATTAACCAACATGCTCGATTTGGTTCTTAGTTATTATAAACTCAGCTAGCCAATACTATGACACAAAGTAGTTCATCTAGAAGACTAAAACTATAATAAAAATATTTTCAACACTATGAATGCAAATATTTAAGCCGCAACATAGTTCAATGGCAAAAATAAATAAATGTTACCTACCACAAGCAACTCTTCCACCAGCATTTCCAGTGCTCTTGCTCAGTTCATGACCACCTGAAACAACAGAGATAACTCGTAAACCACTGCCATACGAAAACATAAATGAGAAGTTCAAACAAGGATGATGTCAGAAGACACAATTGTATATAAGAAACGAGGACACTAACACTTATGGTCTTTTCAAAATGTGCTCCTTGACTCACCCAAACAACCAACGGGTTTGAGAAAATAGAAGAAAAGATTGTTCCTTAAGTTTCAGGATGAACAGCTTGTATATTACTAGTGAAGAGATTCGATCACCTCAAGATATTTCGTCAAGTTCATCCCAGTAGATTCAACTATAATATAGGGAAATGACTAATTAGCCATGACAGGTGTGCAATGACAATAGGTATCAGTTTTTGCATTCTTCTAAATCCCCCTTCCCCTACCCTCCCCACACATGCAAGAGAGAGGCAACCATCCCATTCTCCTCGACAGCACGTGTAAGCAGCTTTCTATTCAAGGTTATGCATAGAAAATTCAGTAATTAGAATATAGAAGATACCCACCCTTTCCAAGATCATCAGGATCTGCATGGACAACTACGGCTCTTCCAATTATAGAATGTGGTCCTGTAAGAGGTATCTGCAAACCAAGACATGCATTTAAGAAAAGATACTAGTTGGAGAAAAACACATATTATAAGCAGAAGCAGTGGTAAAATAATAAATTACCTGCTTATCAACAACGTTGATAGCAGCAGTGCCTGAATATTAAAATGATGGAAAAATGATAAGTCACAAATCATGGATGTATTTGGTAATGCACATAGCACAATACCTGCAATCTTTTTGTTTATTTACATTAAACTGAACCCTTGAGGATTAAACATTATAATGCTCAAATTCTCTTACTAAAAATATGTGATGGCCTCTTATTTTCCTTAATAATATCGTTTGAAAGTTTTCAAAATAAATTTTTCAATACTACAAAAATTTAACGGGGTCATCAATGTACATAGAGGGGAAGAATGAACAGCAGTGAACACAACAGCATAATTAGCTTTAACTGAATAAACAACGAGCATGTTTAGCCAAGCTTAAAAGGTTCACTAATAAGTAAACATACTCATATAAGTCTAATAAGTAAACATGCTCATAAGTACAAGTCAGTTTAAAATTATTGGTCAAGGTTCGAAATAAGTATAGCTTATTTGAGAGGAAGGTGAGAGTTACTCTAAAAAATAACTAACTTTTTCACATGAATGAAAGAAAAAAGTAACATATTATAACATCTTTGGAAGCAAAAGGTCACTTCCAAGTTTATGATTGTAGGAACTAAATTCTTAAGTTTATAAGTAATGGAATTATTACTTCAATGCAGGACATAATAACAATAGTATGCAAAATTTTCTAGTCACAAGAGCAATAGTATGTACCATCTTCTCCAACTGTGATGTTACCAAGATCACCGGCATGGCGGTTCTCATCTCCAGGTGCACCATGCTCTTTGCCAACAGGATTGAAATGAGGTCCTGCATATTGAAAGTACTGGAATATTAGAGGTAGCAATTTCAATTGCTAGATTTTGTACAACCTTTCACCTTTTGGAGTCAACTAGTTGTTAAACTATATAACAAAGATAATCAGATAATGTAGGCAAATTACCGGTTGACATACAACCATTGGTGGTGTCACCGAGGGCATGGACATGAAAGCCATGAAGTCCAGGCTTAAGGCCAGAAATGTTTCCAGTAACAGTAGTTGGACCTGAAGCATTAAGTGAACAATTACAAAGTGTGATCAACAGCATAAATTCATAAGTTGTAATTGGTATGCATAACTCGATTTTATTTAGTGACAGCAAAAAAAAACCTTGTTTTCCCAGTGGATTCTAGTTCTCCCTTTTTATGTTTTGAGTAAGAAAAAATCTTGCCTCAGTTTTTTTAATGAGGCCATATATGGGAGAAGGGTTCCCCAGTCTTAGCGAAAATCAGATTGCCATACATAACTATATTGCATTGTGTCAAACAAGATTTTAACTTGTTTTTATTCCCTGAATATTGTCCAATCCAACATAACAAGCATTCGTAAGGACAATGAAAAACTACCATCTCCTTCTTGGGTGAAGTAGACGGTGCCATTGACACCCTCACTGCTTTTGAGGACTGCGACGGCCTTCACCATGATTATGTGTTCTACAAAAATTATGACAGAACAAATTTATCAGTCAATTATGCATAGAAAAACAACTTAAAAGAAAGTACCTGATAAAATATGATTACTTGAATCTCCTCTTTTTAATAAAAAGACTATTACTACTAACATCAATCCAATTTTTCAATCGCCAAAGATTCATTACCACTATGAATATCTTATCAAATAGTTTTCCTATCAAAAATCCCCACTAGTTGATAGCAACTTATTTCATATCAAACAACTCTCTTTTGGTTATGCTGGTTCATGCAACAAAGTTAGATACACAAAATAGGATCAATTTTATCCAATGTTAGTGCTACAAAAAAGTTCATTTTGTGAAGGGGGAAAAAAAAAAAAAGTCCCACAAAAAATGAACTCATAACCTCGAATCCAGATATTACAGTAAATTTAAACGTTAATTTTACATACATACAAATTTGACCAAAAATAAAGGCTGAAAAAAATTCAAATCCTGGAAAAAGTGATAGAATTAAAGTAGATACAGTGATTAATAAGTAAAATACAACAGGCAAATAAAGAGAATTCACGTCCTTCAAGCTCTCAATCTCTTCTTTTTTCAAGTTCTCAAACTCTTCTTTTAGGGCAAAAATAAGAAAACCCCATCACCGATTGAATTAAGAAAAAACCACTTTTAAACTAACTAACCCACTTACCAATGAGAAAACAAGTTTGAAATTAAACTAAGAAGCAAAAGTTCACAATAACCTTTACCCGTCACAAATCAAACAGAAAACCCAGAATCTAAGTACATCATAAAAGGCACCGAAAAAAAAAAAAAAAAAAAAATTACAAATATAAGCGTTTATAGAGAGCAAGTATGTGTTAAGGGATTTTAAACATCAATAATAAGCAAACCCACAAGAAATTAAGTGGCTTAAGATTACTCTAAAGCGAGTTCAAAAGTAATATAAGCTAATGAATCGGAAACACAACATTTTATAGCATATAATCTAAACTAATGACTCAAAAAAAAAAAAAAAATTGATTCAGTGATGCAAATGAATGTAAAAAATAACTAGATCGTATAAAAAAAAAAAAAAGAAGATTCAGTGATGCAAATAAATGTAAAAAAATAACTAGATCGTATACATTCTTATCTCAAAAACAAGGTGAAAATGGATTTGATTGTGTACCTCAGAGTACCCCTTTTGTACAGACTAGAGAGAGAGAGATAAACGATTGTTAAAATGAAATTGCAATTTCCCAGTGAATATGCAATTTAAGGAGTGGTACATTATCCCTTCCCCCTTTTTTTTGGACCAATCTATGATCAACGATGCGCGTGTCACTTCTGTTCCACCTACTCAGTTTAATACACTTAAAGTTTTGGTACAGATTTTAAATTAATTAAAATCAATTTTTTTATTATTATTTCACTATTTCAATCGTTATTTTTAAATTTTTCTCTCACATATAAAACTTATTTTATCTTTAACGATCAAAAAATCTATTACCAAACTCTCTACCAAACAAGCACTAAATGTTAATGAAAACCTTATAAAATAAGCCATTTATATATTTTAAGTTTTTATCAATAAAACTTATAAATAAAATTTGTGAGCTTATCTCCAAACATAGTGTTAACTTTGTTTTTTAAAATTGGATTGGTAAGTGGGTACTCATTCTTTTTTAAATTCTGCTAATGTAGTAAACGGTCCAAATATGTGTCCTTGGCAACATTTTTAGTCCAAATCAAATAATAAACTGTACAAGTAACAACAATAATAATCTTCAAGTCAAAAATGGAAGATGAACTTTGTCTATATTCAATTTTGGTGGCATTAAATTTAGAAATATTACTAATAAGTCTGCCATCAATCTTCAATTCTCAAAAAATAAAGTATTTTAATGATCTTTGTTTCGTTTGTTGAGGAAAAATATGAATTTTATTTTATTTTATTTTTTTAAATTTGAGCCTGAATTGTTTTTTAACCATATCTAATGTGGGGATGTTAAATGGGACAAGTTGAACCGTTCCACTTCTTGCTTTACTTCAAGAAAAAATGTAGGTAATTGTTATGCCTCCCCAGAGAGCACCTCGGCATATGAAGTACAAATGACCAACTGAGGAGGCGTCGCTTCTCTGAGGTGATATGATCCGAAGTGTCACTGTCCAAAGTGATTTGGGCCAAGGAGGTACGTGTGGGAGAAGTGCCTCTCTGTTGCCAGTTTCACAAATGAATCTTTTGGTCAAATCTGTATCCATATCTCTATGAATGATGGATGTGATGTCTCTGTCAAGTGTCAACTCCTAATCAGAAAAATTAAATGCCCGCCCACCTAGGAAACGGTTGATGGATGCCTATGAACGGACGCCTCGCATCGTCAGAAAAGTCCACGTATTTCACATCTAACGGTGCCCTTTTCCAACCTTCTCCCTATAAATACCAAAGAACCCAGCTGGAATAAGGTAAGGTTACTCCATTAGAAAAGCACTTATATTCTCCTCCCGATATAGTGATCACAGCGGATTGCTACCACCGGAATATATATTCACCGTCAACTGATTTGATCGTCGGAGTGTATGTAGTCGCTACCACCTTCGTTGGAAAATGGCCATATATGTATGATCGTTTGTGTCGTGTACAGGGAGGAATATATTATTCAATAATCTAAAAACCATACAACCAAAATGTACAAGAACTTTACATAAAACCTAAACCACAGCATCTAGTGTAAATCTTTCATAGGCCCAGACCAAAAGCCCCAAAAACATCACCGAGACACCGAACTCAAACCACGAGCCCTCACAGATCCCAAACCATAGAGTTACTTCAATGGAACACAAAATGGACAAACCACAAGAACAACGATTCACTCACACAAAGAAGAATCACACAAGGACTTGATTATCACAAATAAAATTCCCAAATAATCTCACATAGAGAAGCTGAAAACACGAAGATAGAAGCCCTTGAAAGTTCCAGAAAGAAGACGACTCACAGAGAGAGAAAAATAACGATCCTTCTTGTAGGGCAAAGCAAAGGGTCTATTTAATAAGTAAAGACCATCAGCCATTGATCTAGGGGTCGATCCAACGATCCCAGAGCAACTAAGGGAATGGGCTGATTATTGGGCTCAATTAAGTGGGCTATCTAAGTATCAAGAGAGTGGTTAATCTGCTCTTTTCTTATTGGGCATGGATTTTATCATCATCGCCTATGTTGGACTGATCATTGGCATCATAGCCCTACAGATCTACACCTTAATTCCAGTGGTCATACAAGAAGCCTAATAAATGTAAAACACAATTTATATCTCATTCCCAAGAATGCAGCTTCCTAGTACTTCCAACAAGCATCAGATTCAGCACCTGTACATAACTAAAAATTTAACCAGCATCAATGTTCAAAATTTGTAAACAAGACTTAAACTTGTTTAAATATATTACCTTAGTCCCTACATCAGTTGGATTAAACTGAGTTGTAATTTTCTCAAGTAAAATAAGTTCTTTAGAAATAACATCTCTAATAAAATGTAACTTAACATTAATATGTTTGGTTCTTTCATGAAAAACAGGATTTTTATATAGGTGAATTGCACTTTGACTGTCTGAATATAAAATAACAGGATTACTTAATTCATTTATTTCAGATAACAAGCCCTTAAGCCATAAGGCTTCTTTTATTGCTTCAGTTACAGCAACATACTCAACTTCAGTAGTAAATAAAGCAACAATAGGTTGAAGTTGAGATTTTCAACTAATACATGTATTACACAAAGTAAACGTATAAGCAGTAGTAGATTTCCTATTGTCTCTATCTCCGGCAAAATCTGAATCTACAAAACCATTAAGTACAACACCTTCATTACAGGCACTAAAAATCAAACCAATATGTGAAGATCCTTTCAAATATCTCAACAGCCATTTTAGAGCAACCCAATGTTCTAGTCCTAGATTGGCCATAAATCTACTAAGTGTGCTATTGGAATGAGTTACATCAGGCCTAGTACATACCATAGTATACATGACAGATCCTACTACATTAGCATAGGATACATTTTACATTTGTCTAATGTCAGATTCATCTAAAGGACATTGCTCTTTACTAAGTTTAAAATGGCTGACCAATGAAAGTGAAATAGATTTAGAGTTATGCATGACAAACTTAGTCAACATTTTTTCAATATATGCAGTTTGCTTCAAGTATAGTAACCTATGGTGCATTTTCCTAGTGATTTTCATTCCTAAAATTCTCTTTGCATGTCCTAGGTCTTTCATTTCAAATTCAGCGCTTAAAGACTGTTTAATCTGATTAATAATATGCATATTCTGACCAATCGGCAACATATCATCCACATAAAGAAGTATAAAAGCAACAATAGCATTTTCATAATTTCTTTTAAAATAAAGACAATGATTAAATTCACTTCTTACGAAACCAATAGTAAATACAAAATTATCAAACATTTTGTACCATTGTCGTGGAGATTGCTTCAAACCATATAATGATCTTTTTAACAAGCACACATGATCAGATTTAGATTTATGAATAAAACCAGGTGGTTGTCCTATATAAATCACTTCATCAAGGTCACCATGCAAGAAGGCAATTTTTATCTTTATTTGTTCAAGGTCAAGATCATAATGAGCAACAAGAGCAAGCATAACTTTAATTGTAGTGTACTTTATCACAGTAGAAAATATCTCATTATAATCTATGCCCTCTTTTTGCGTAAATCCATTCACTACAAGTCTAGCCTTAAATCTTATGGGCATCTTTTCAGTATTTCCCTCCTCAACACTAAAATCCACTTGCAATCAACAGGGGTCTTACCTGTAGGTTTAGGAACTAAAGTCGAAGTCTCATTTTTCATTAAGGAGTCCATCTCATCTATTATAGCAGTATGCCAATTCTCAGATTTCTTACAGCTCATAGCCTTTTCATAAGATTTTGGTTCTTTAAACACTAAGTCTTGATAGGACAAAACAGCAAGTGAAAGGTAATCTCCATATCTAACAGGCTCTCTTACTTCTCTCCTAGTCCTATCTCTAGCTAATTGGTAATCTCCCAATTCATCATGCTGACTTTCCAGATTTTCTTGAACACTTTCCTCTTCATTTTCTTGAGGACCAGAAGCTGTTTCAGCTTCTTCCTCCACCTGTTCATCACCAACAGGTTCAGTAGGTAAGCCAAGCTCCACATGTAGCTTAGTATTATCACACTTTTCATCACCAGATAACCCTTTTGGCTCCTTATTTTCTAAACAAGTCATTTTTTACTCATCAAATGTAAATGTAACATCTCTGCTGCTGATGATTCTAAAGCCTTTTACCTCTTTACTCCATAGCTTATAACCTTTAACCCCATCAGGATATCCCAAGAAAACACATTTCTGGGCCCTAGGTTTAAGTTTTCCTATACTTTGATGGGAATAGGCAGCACAACCAAAGATTCTTAAATGGGAATAATCAGGAACATGTCCTGTCCATAACTCTTTAGGGGTTTTATCACCTAGAGCACTTGAGGGGGTCCTATTAACAATATATGAAACTGTTATTACAGCTTCACCCCATAAAACCTTAGGAACTTCTGAGCTTATCAACATGCACCTAACCTTATCTAGCAAGGTTCTATTCATCCTTTCAGCCACTCCATTTTGCTGAGGTGTATAAGGTACTGTTTTATGCCTTTTAATCCCAGCATCTTTGAACAACTGATAAAATTTAGCATTGCAAAATTCAAGACCATTATCCGTCCTAAGGATCTTAATTTTCTTCCCAGTTTCATTTTCCACCAGAATCTTCCAAGTTCTAAATTTCTCAAAGGTTTCAGATTTATGTTTCAACAAGTAATCTCAAACCTTCCTAGAATAGTCATCAATCAAGGACAAGAAATAGTTATTTCCTCCTTGAGTGATAGTAGATGAAGGCCCCTATAAATCAGCATGTATATACTCAAGGATAGAGGTGGTTCTATATTTTTCTATGTTAAAATGCAGCCTATGCTGCTTACCTAAAGTACAATTTTCACAAAAGGACCCCTTAGATATAGAGTCTTTTCCACACACACCTTTCTTATAAAGGATGTGTAGGCCCTTTTCACCTACATGGGCCAATCTCTTGTATCATTTTAAGGTGGCATTAACTTCAACACTAGAAGACTCACCTATGTGATCAAACACTGTACTAGCTTTGATCACATAAATCCCGTTTCTTTCAACACCTTTAAAAATAACAAGTGATCCTCTTATCACCTTCAAAAAACAATCTCTTATTTTTCCTTACAGTCCCATATCATCTAGATTTCCCATGAAAATCAGGTTCCTATTTAATTCAGGGACATACCTCA